CACTAATAATGAAGAGAGTACTTTGAAAACTAGCAGTGCGACAGTCGCAGCCTGTATGGGTCAGGCCTAGAGGCAAATACGCAGTACAAGTTGATGAGCACATTATGTGAATGGTTGGAGCACTCACTTAGAAAGCAAGGTGTACAAGTGCAATCCCCTTGTGCCGAAGAAGTTTTATACCCCATGCCCTTCTTAAAACGCCCTAACGGCAACACCATAGTCTGTTCAGCATGCCTGCTAAGGATCTCTTGCTGAAGGTGTTTTTTATATCAAAGTAAATGCTAGCTGGGTGAGAAAACGTTGGAGATGCTCATCAGTTGATGAGGAGAGGTGTGTATGAAGTGTGCAGAAACACTTGGATCTTGGTCGCTTATTCTAGTGTCTGCTTAATATAAAATACACAAGCAGCCCTTGGAACGAGAGCTAGAACTACGTTTTCTGTTCTGTGGGGGTAGGGCCATTACCCTGCCTGCTAGACAGAGTCTCATTATTTCCCTCTTCCTTCCTTCCAGAGCTTGATTAATGTTTAATTACTCGCTGTAAGTGGCACAGCCTCACTTGGCAAGAGCAGGTATTCTTTAACCCACATTAGTGCCCACCTCCTCCCTCCTCATATCATGTAACTTGGTGACAAAAGGACTCTCCTAAAACATGCATGGATTTGCCAGGAGAGGACCAAGAGCGTTTTTATCTTTTTCCAATCAGCATGACTCGACATAGGAGGTTAGGACAGTCAGCAGTCCGGCTGGAGCAGACTGGTGATTACTGTTCATGCACAAACAGGCAGCGGAGTGCAATCACCATAAATCCAACGTGCACCTACATCTGCCGGGAAGGTTTCAGCTGATACCTAGCCGCACAGGTGATGTACCCTCTGAATTGCTGCCTTGAGAGATGGTAAACTTTCTCCGTTGGCCTTCTGAAGTTCAGTAATCGTCACATTTAACAGATGTACTGTGAGAACACGCGGGATATGCTCCTCTGGTGAACTGGCTTAAGGTATGCCCAGCTTGTGCACACCATGAAGCACTGAAAAAGACTCTCAGCAGCTCATTTATTGAAGACATGGTGCTTTGGGCATTTTCAGACAAGGTGTTGTATTTTTTTCTTTAGGTGCCCAGGAGGCAGTGAAATACTAGCTTCTCCAGTTAGCTACCAACGTCTTTTTTATAGTAATCGATGACACCTGAATGGGAATTTTAGGAACCTAAATTTGCACTGAGGCACTTAAGACTTTCTGGAGTCCTAACTCAAAGCCTTTTCTTCCCTGTGTATTGTTTTATTCCCAGCTTCTTCTACCCAATCACACTTCAAATTTTACACACTTTTCCTATTCTAGCCTGTACGTCTCATTATTGTGCACTAACATATTATTTTCCACAATGGTTTAAATAAAGGTCATTCCTGGTTTGTGGTCCAAGTTTATCAAATAATGTTAAGTCTACATTGCTACTTAAGTCCTTTACTTAATGTAGAGGACTCTGGCGATTAACAGAGTCCTCTAGAGGTAGTTTGTGCACGTGATGGTTTTATGAAACTATTATGAAACTATGATCTGTCGTTCTAGGAGGATTTTCCATGTTCTGTTGACACAGTGAAATGATGAATATGGAGGTTTTTTTGGTAGAATTCAGGAAAAAGGAGTAGGGAAGAACTGAGGTTTCTAGGAAGTAGAAAGATTTTTATGGAAAGCTGGTGAGAAGAGCCAAGGAGGAATTAAGATGGGATGAAGAAATTGAGTTAAACTGTGAGAAGTAAAGCTAGGATATTGATGGGAGCAAGGTATTTGTGAGGCTTATAGAGGGTACCTGCAACTGGAGAACACAAAAAGGAAAGATTATTCTGATTGTGGGGTGAAATACGATGGCATCTTGGCTATGGCTGTTTGGGAAATGTGCTGGGTACCAGGGGTGTCGGGGCACAGTGTGGGCCAGCTGCTCCCCATGGGGTGCAGGACAGGGCAGGACCCGACAGCCAGGGCCTGTCTCACCACCCCAGCCAGCAGCAGGGCAGCTGGGGGGCACCGGGGCAGCCCCAGCGCCGGGCACCTCCCTGGGGACAGGGATGGGCCATGGGGAGCTGCAGACCGGCCCTTCTGCAGCGTCGCTGGGGCAGGGGCTGACAGCCCAGGGGGGCTGGCATGGGGTCCTGGGCCCTGGGCCCTGGGCAGGCGGGAGGCTGGGCAGGGACATCCAGGCCTGGCAGTGCCCTCGGGGCCCTGATGCAACGCCTTAAGTGAAAAAATTATCTGCGTGGTTTGTGGAATGGAGGAGGGTACCATACATGTTCTACAAGATGTTTTAATTTGAGAGGGCAGTGGAAAAACTGTCTTGGGAACTGAGAAATAGACTCTCTAGTAAATCTTTCTCCTACAGCACTCTCAGAGTGACGCATACCAGCAATCATTAATTCTGGTGGAAAGTTGACTTGAGTAGCACGGTACAGGTATAATAATAAGCCTAGCCAGATTCTCAGTTTATTTAACCTTTTCCTTCCTGCCAACTCCCTCCATGGCATATTTTTCAATTTTAATGCCTATAATACTTCCATCCGTTCAATTTCTCCATCACTTAGTTTACCTGAGGAAATCATTTAAATATATATTTTTATCACAGGAAAACAAAGCATTTTAGAAAAAAGAAAGGTAGGATGAGCCACTCTCATGTCTCCTCCGTGCCACCTCCTTCATTCCAACACACACCACCAGCTGTGATTAAGCAGTTTGAAGAGACAGTGCCCCATGTAGTTTAACAAATTTCATTTTCCAGTTTGGGTAGACTTAAGGCTCTTCTCCAACTAAATCTTCTTCTTTTCTTCAAATAAAACAGTTTCTCTTAAAGGTTTGTCTTCACATAACGAGTCTAGCTGGATTTTACTGAGACGGCCACACAGTTCATTGATCTTCCTTTCTCCTAAACACAGAGGGAATTCAACTTAACTCCACAGAAACACCTGCAAACACACTAATTGTGAGTTTCATCTACTTTACACGCGGGTATTACTGTAATAGCGTCCTGTCTGTCTTATTTGTGGCGAACACCTAAGTCATATACTGAGAACAGCATCGTGAAGCTTTTTCACTTCTTGGGTGAGCGTAACCTGAAATTGCTGTGTCATTTCTGATGACTTTTTGCCGTCCCATTAACTTCTTTCCCAGTATGTGAACAATTAGGTAATTGCAGGTACCACAGTTTTAGCACGGGGATACTTTCTTGACCATTCAAACCCGTTTCTTGACCTGTCATAATTTACATATGGCCCAGAGTGTCGAGGCACACACTACAGAACTCTGCGTGATGAGGAGAGGGAAGGCTGCAGGCAGGACCTCAGGCAGGATGACTGCGATTCCCCTCAGCTCCGGCTGTTCCTTTGCCAAACAGAGTTTGACCAGGAGCCTCTGTAGATACTCAGCAGAGCAACTCCAGTGATGTCAGCCTCGGCCTGGCTCACCATCTGCTGTAACAAAACAGTCCGCATACCCCAGAGCCCTGTCCTTGAGCTTGGGACGCAGTGCTGAAACAGGAATCGTATTTGCACTGCTTCCAGGCAGTCTGCAGCTCCAGGCAGGGTCGATATCCCTCTTCCAACCCATGTGGTTCACGCGCCGCGCTCCACTCAGCCAAGCTCAGGTTTGCACTCAGAAAGACATCCGCTGTCCATCCTCTGACACCTGTGGTGTTTTAACTTCTTTGTATTTGGAAACTGTTGGCATAATTGGAGCGATGGGAAGGTCACTGAACACTGAAACCGAATCAAGGACTTAAGTTTTTAACACTTAGCAACCTCTAGTGAATTTTTAATGGCACACATTAGATATTTTTCTAACAACTACATTGCACTTTCACACTGACTGGGACACAGTCATTTTTTTGGGCAAGAAATAAACTGTATGAAAAAGGAAAATGAACCACCATCTCTCAGAACCTCAGTCACAAAGCATACGAGAGCAATCTGTTTTCCCTTTCCTTTTTTTTTTTTTTTCAAATGTTGTCAATACTGATACTCAAAATTTGAGGTCGTGCCTTAGGACTTTGTGCCCCTTCAGGACTTTTCAGAGTCCTGGATTCAGCAAAACTCCGATTTCTGAAAACAAGGAAACGAAGAGCTGATCGGCATACCGGCCACTCTGCAGGATGTACACAAGCTCTTTGTTGTCTTCCTTAGGTTGCACTTGCCTGCAGATTGCTGTACTGAATGGCGAGAAGGAGTAGCTGGAGCAAACCTGTGAGCGTGAGGAGAGGCGATGTATATATTGCTTAAGAGATGCAGGAAACTTCCACTTACAAAGGAAGAGTACGGAGATGTCTGCCAGAGCAGGCAGAGGTAAGGTGGCAGACATACACACTCTAACTTCTAGTCTAAATTCTCAGAAGCGTGAGCTTTGCTGGCCTTGGTGTTTTGGCAGGAGATAAGATAGGAACAAACACCTTCAGTGATGGCACAGGACTTTGTCAATGATATTTTTCACTAAAATCAAAGAGTCGTTTGAGAGAAACAAACAGCTTGCAGTTATCATGTAGGTTTGAAACTCGGAGTTGAGCTGAGAAAAATATTTGTAATAAATGATAGGTAAACCAAAAACAGTTTCAGGGAAATCAAAACTAGTTATCAAAATAGGCTGAATTTCATAAATTGCTTCCATCAAAAAAAAAGAGGAGAGTTCATTAATGTTAACATTTTCCATATATTTTCAAAACAGAATGCTTTATTTCAGAAATATTACAGTATTTTAATGTTTGAAGCAAAGTTTTTTGACTTTCAGAGTGGCATTTTAATTGAAAAATGTTTCTGTGCCTTAAAAAATTAAATGTTTTAAAAGGGGTGTGTTTTCATAATATATGAAATATTTTGCTTTCTGTCAAGACTTCCCCCTCCCAAAATCAACAAAAGTGAGTTTTTATCTTAAATCAAAATACTTGAAAAAATACTGTTTGGGTTGCATTGTTTCAAATTGAAATAAGGTTTTAATTTGAATTATTTCTGGACTTTTTCTTGTTCAGACAAAAAAACCCCAAAGTATCTGCTACTCAGGTAACTCTAATTGGGACACTAAAATGTCAAGGTAAAGCATAAAATGGGGTTCCTAATATCTTCTTCCCTGTTTGACACTTCATTATACCAGAAGGTTAAGTTAGGCAGGAGATAGTGGATGCATTTTGACACGTTTGGAGTTTGTTGTTGCTACCATGGCTAGTGAGAAAAGTTGCAGACATGGTATAATTCCCCTGATTAAAATAAATTTAAGGGCAAGGAAACACTGATGTCTAATTTCCCTTTTCCAACTTCTGTCCTACGTATAACACAGCCCTGTTGATAAATTAACTAGCCATATAGCTTAGTGAATAAAGCAGACTCGAGGACCTATATTACAAAAAAACTTAAAATAAATTAGACCAAATGGCCTATGTAAAGCATATTTATAGCAGTATAAATAGCAGGTAGTGGCTAGTATTTTTATATAGCACCTACACACAAGGTCATAGCACAGAGGCCTAAATAATTCCACACCAGAAATGTACTTCTCCCTTCATAGATATGATGAAGACACGTGCAGAATTCTGTTAGGACAATATGGAGGGGAAAGTGTTAACAGAGGCTAGCCTTGCCCTAAGCAACCCTGGTCCCTCACACTCCCTTTCAAGGCCATGGAAAAACATCAGCTTTTCCAAGTTCAAGTTTAGAGCATGTAAATTAAGTTCTTGTGCTGAACTGCAGGTTGTAGGAGCCTTTCTGCTTCCATTTACTGCAAAAGGAGCCCAGAAAAAGGAATTTCCCTAAAGTCCTCTCCTATGAACACCAATCCAAATGTGAAATTACCAAAAGATGTGGGTACATAAACAATATCCCATGTTAACCAGCTGTACACTACTATTTCGTTTAACTCCAACACAGCTAAGTTCCTGATAGGGATGTATGTAGGTGAGAATAAAAACAAGGTGTAAGGTCTGAGAGACAGCTTACAAGAAGCAGCCCTGAGAATAGTATCTCTGTTATCATCCTCTCTCACCTCCTCCTTTATTTTCATACTAGACTGTGCATGCAACGTAACAGTCTGCTATATTGCTTCTTTTCCTGTATCACGAAACTTTGATTTGTTTGGGTGGTTTTGGAATTGAGATTATTAATTGAAACGTATTGCCAAGCATACCAGGGTCCTTCCAGGACCCTGTGTGTTGTCACGTCTAATCCAGACTTCTTACTATATTATATCTGAGAAAGTTTCTCAGTTAATAAATAGAAACTACAGCTTTAACTACCTCCACCATACGTCACCGTATTCAGTTCACCGTCTCTGTTAGAAGCCATGAGGAGCTTCAAGAGTCATTCCTTGCTAATTGCCGCCCTCTGCTGTTACTATATATATTACCAGCAGTAACCCGGAGAAAATTCCTCGGCTTTCTGTCTTTTGAGCATCAGTGTAGTCTTTGCCATCCACCCTTTCACTCCAAAACTCAGGACTGCTGAAGCAGCTTGTTTCTGATACCAGTCTAATTCTGATGAATCCCTTTGAAAGACTTTTTGCATTACAGCTATATTCCTTTGCTATTTTTCGAATTCCAAATATTATGTTGGCCTGTCATATGCATTTGTTCTTTCAAGTCTTACTCCTCTTCTGCTTCTGAAATTGCACAAGGGAATACGTGTTAAAGAACTTTTTCTCTCAGTTTTATACTTAGTATCTAAATCCTATACGTTTGGGGATCTATGATAATCAAGAACGGTCCCTCATGGTTTACAGTCTCTTTCAAGAAGTACTGTGAAATTCTGTGTACCTGGTGGCGTTTCTAGCACAGAGTGACAATGATAAAAGCTTTCTATGGGAGCAGATCATTTTGTAGCGTTGGCATTACACACTGTTCTTCACATCACTGTGTCAGCCTGAAATGTTGACCTTGGCTCGGTATGTCAGGGTTGAGGTCAAGGACCAAGGGCTTGTCAAGCATCTACTCGAAATGATACTTGACACTTTAATCACAGTACTTTCATCTTGCTTTAAGGGATCTGATGCTTGAATCTCTATGCTTGGTATTCCAGTATGAGGTACTGAGTTTTCTTCAGGTTGTTTTCTCCTAATCTTAACAGTCCATTAAGAATATCATCATCTTTACTATTATTTTCAGTTATCTGAGAGGATTGGAGGTGTAAATTCCCTTTCATATTCATTTCATATTCATTTTATCTGGCTCTGGCCTAATACTTTTTTCCTCAGGGAAAATCAAAGGAACTCATTTACTGTAACAGCGATGGCATTCTGCTCAGTTCAGTTTTGGGCTTTCATATTTTGTCTTATCCATAGTGCTACAGAGTTGTCATGTTCTTCCTCGTGCTGACATCTTTAGAATGTCATCAATTATTCATTTCACATCTATCACTTCTTATATTATTTCAAGTTCTTATTTCTGAATATCTTCTGCAGATCAAATTTCAAGGTGATACCTTTGCAGCATCATCTTCCAAATGGAATGTTGAAGAGGGATCACTTTTCTTTTTTTCAGTCTGATCTTTCAAGAAAGCTTGTAAATTATATCATACAGGGCGAGAAAGGTAATGTGACCGTACCTGCAGAATGAAAAAAGAAATTTCTGTGGTTGCCAAATCAGACTTCAAGCCTCAAGATTTTTTCTTTCTTGGCAGATTTCCCCTGAGAACAAGATTATTTTTTTTTACATTGATGCGGTATAACATATAATACGCCCCTAATACAAATTGTTTATCCAACACCACTAGGCAGAAAATTGGAAATAACGAACAACTAGGCACATACAAGATTAGTTTTTCTGTGGTAACTAAGAATAGATTGTATTTTCATTATGAAAAAGAGAGGTCTCTAAAAACATGCATTAGATTGCAGGCTATCTTACGTAGGCTTTGCTTTCAGTTTACAGATCCAATACGAACTTTTAGCATGAAAATACTGTGCTCTGTTAAAGCCCCATCACCAGTTTTTCTGCAGTCTGGTAAATTCCCTAACACTTTTTGGCACGCCGGGAGGTCGGCATACAGTTAAGGCCATGCTGACTATCTTGGCTTTGCGCTCAGTGGACAACAGGATTGGGTCCCGGGGGGGTTCGGAATGGCACTTGCCTTCCTCCGCGCTACGGCTAGGTGGGGCACAGCCATCAAGAACCAGGATCAATTCACTTGTGACTTGCTGCCTGATTTTTTTACCACTCGAGTAGTCCCGAGACACTGATTTCAAACAATTCAGCAACCGTCACAGGCCAAAAGGCGGCCCTGCCTACCGACAAGGTTAAACTCACTCCATTAGCCCCGACGCCAGCCGTTTAGCCGTTTCACCCCCCGGGCTGGCCCGGGGCAAGCAGGCCTGCCAGCACCCACGGAGCAGAGGGGCTAACCCCGGGCCCGGAGCACAGCCCTCCTCGCCCCAGGAGGAGCCGGCCTGCGGTGGGAGGGGGTGAGCAAAGAGCCAGGAGATAAAACACAGCCGGGGACACTCGGGCTTTATC